CATTGCTGGGTTTTCGAGGTTTCCTTCTTACTTACAGTTGATTTTGTTTCTTTCTTTGGTTCTTGTTGTTTCAGACTTTCAATTCCGACGAGAATCGTCGTTTAAATCTGCTTCCTCGGGTGGGTATTTGACTACACGCTTCCTCAGATCCCAAGTTTGTTTCTTTAATTTTGTATTCAATCTTTGTTCAAATTGCTTATAGGAATCACCGGAAGTGGTTAGAGGAGGAGTCGTGGGTGTAGTCTATTCCAAACAGATTCCGGATTCGTCGTCTCTTGATGCTCACAAGATTTCAGAACCGAGAGACCAATTGACTGCTCGAGTTCTTTCGACTACCGAAGATGATGATAATCAGTCTCGAACTGACAATCCCATCGAACAAGTCACTGATGCAGCCTCACAGATGTATAGGCCAAATGATGATATGCAAGAACAAGACCCTCGACACAGTCACATTCAAGCTTCCATTGACAACTCCCAGAATAAGGTGCGTTTTCTAGAACACATGGTCACAAGTTTCTTCTTTTAGATCAATCAAAACTCCTCTCGGAAAAGGGTAGTAATCAGATTAATCTTGCATTGGATTTTCCTCATTGATAGGCTCAAGATTTGACTTTATGCTTGCTTGATAGTATAATTTAGGAGAAACTGGACTTGCCCTTGTGCTAGAATGTCTTGCCAAGTTACAGTGGCTGCTAATGAGATTATCCGAATTCCCTGTTATGGCCCGAGTTACAGTTGTTGTGCCAAAATTATCTCTCTACTCTCATTAATTTGTGCATCGATCTCATCATCGTCTTGTAGAAAAGGATGCATGTTCAGTTGACCCAGCGAACCTCCAGAACGGCTGATGAGCGACAAGAGCCTAAAGCTTTTGGAGTTGAGAAAGAGAGAGGAAATGTGTTGATGCCTGATGCTCAGGTGAGGCATCTTAAAGATCAGCTGATTAGAGCAAAGGTCTATCTTTCACTTCCTGCTGCAAAGGCTAATGCACATTTTGTGAGAGAGCTTCGACTCCGTATTAAAGAAGTTCAACGGGTGCTTGGAGATGCCTCCAAGGATTCAGATCTGCCAAAGACGTAAGTGTCCCTTGGAAATGCAGTTAATGAACCAGTTTTCTTCCTGTGATTAATTTCTCTGGCATTTCTTGAACCCAGTGCTATGGAAAGACTGAAAGCAATGGAGCAAACGTTAGCCAAAGGTAAGCAGATCCAAGATGACTGTTCCACAGTAGTGAAGAAGCTACGGGCAATGCTCCACTCAGCAGAGGAGCAGCTACGGGTCCATAAGAAGCAAACCATGTTCTTGACACAATTGACTGCTAAGACGATTCCAAAGGGCCTTCACTGCCTCCCTCTACGCCTCACTACCGATTATTATGCTTTAAATTCGTCTGAACAACAATTCCCAAATCCAGAGAAACTAGAAGATAATGAGCTGTATCACTATGCCCTCTTCTCTGACAATGTTTTGGCTACATCTGTTGTTGTTAATTCTACCATAACCAATGCAAAGGTAAGAAGTTACTTTGTTCATTTGATTGAAGATTTAAATGTGTTCCATTGTGTTGAACTTATGGTCTTAATGGTTTATGGGCAGCATCCCTCAAAGCATGTGTTCCACATTGTCACGGACAGACTCAACTATGCGGCAATGAGGATGTGGTTCCTAGACAACCCACCAGGGAAAGCCACCATCCAGGTTCAGAATGTTGAAGAATTTACATGGCTGAATTCAAGCTACAGTCCTGTTCTGAAACAGCTTAGTTCTCGGTCGATGATAGACTATTACTTCAGGGCCCACCGCACAAATTCAGATACGAACTTGAAGTTCCGGAATCCAAAATACTTATCGATACTTAATCATCTTCGTTTTTACTTGCCTGAGATCTTCCCGAAGCTCAGCAAAGTGCTCTTCTTGGATGATGATATAGTTGTGCAGAAGGACCTTTCTGGTCTTTGGTCAGTTGATCTGAAGGGTAATGTCAACGGTGCTGTAGAGACCTGTGGGGAAAGCTTTCATCGCTTTGACCGTTACCTGAACTTCTCAAATCCACTCATCTCCAAGAATTTTGACCCTCGAGCCTGTGGTTGGGCATATGGTATGAATGTTTTTGATCTGGACGAATGGAAGAGGCAAAACATCACAGAGGTTTATCATCGATGGCAGGATCTGGTACGCAGAAAATACATTTACTTTTGGTTTGGTTTAGTTCGCATCTGTCTTTTGATTTCAAGAATGTGTGCTGATCTTATACACGAACTGTTTGGAATTGCAGAATCAAGACCGAGAATTGTGGAAGCTAGGGACGCTGCCGCCTGGTCTCATCACATTTTGGAAACGAACATACCCGATAGACCGGAAATGGCACACGCTAGGCCTTGGATACAACCCGAGTGTGAACCAGAGGGATATCGAGAGGGCAGCAGTCATACACTACAATGGCAACCTGAAACCATGGCTAGAGATTGGGCTTCCAAGATACCGAGGCTTCTGGTCAAAGCACGTAGACTATGGGCATGTTTATCTCAGAGAATGCAACATCAATCCTTAGAATTAGGGTCTCTATTTGAAGAGCAATGTTATTATGTCAAAAACTCTATTTCTTTATTGATGAGATCTTCTTCATTACATGTAAAACAAAATGTAGATGACACGGCAAAGGCTATATACTCGGAGGTTTCACATGGCAAACATTATGTAAGAAGTCATATTGTTGTCTAGTTGCGTGTGGTGTAAACTCATTCTTTGTTCTGAGACTCTCTCATACCAAGAGTCTGAATTTTGTAAACTATCTCTTATGCTTGCCTGATAAATCATTTCCTTGCGCTTAGATTGTTGATAATTTTACTTTTTTGCTCTTCTTTACGATTTCTTGTTTTTGTAGTTCTCGGATAAATAATTTGTCGTATTTAGCATTCTCCCGCGTGTCTCTATCATCTCAAAAACAAAACCAAGTATTGCAAGTTTGCAACAGTCGAGCAGAGAGTGAAATATAATCTTTCTAAAGGAGAGCTTCGATGTCGATCTCCACGAAAGAGCATGGATCAGTGATGTCAAAGTTGTTCAAAACCTGAAGCATAAACAAACGAATCGGTTAAATCAAGAACCGAACAGCTTTGTTGGGTTTGTTTTTAATCGAAATAAGGTGTACCTGAGGGTGCATGATTTCAAATTTACCAATTT